ATAATAAGCACTGTCGAGTAATTTCCCACTAATCCTCCCGCTTTCCACCCTTTTAGAGCTTCCGCCTCCCGCCTTTTCCTGTTGCGCCTTCCCTACCACACCCTCGCCCTTTGTTCCTTGGCTTCCACTCGCCTCTCCTTCCCTACTTAATCATTTTTGGAATATCTTTGATCAGCAGATGCTCGACAAAATCCAACAAAAACTAAAATGATTCGCCATTGTCGAACAGCTATTCAAAACTGAATACGATGTGAAACAATTATAGCAATTAGATATCACAAATTAGGTTAGATGAGATAATCCTTAAGTCGCTGGCATGAAGGATTTCAGCTTCTCACCAGATGAATGAAAATCGGGTCGAACTTCGCAGTCATCAGATTAAAGATTGAACCAAATTAACGCATAACTAACTTAAAAGTTATTGAACAATTGTACAGCTGATAGGCCATATTTAACTTAAGCGATGACCCGACTGACATTTGAGCTGTTGCATCGCATTTCTTCAGTGATCAGTCCAGTTGATATAAGAACTGAATCTGATTTGAAATATAATTCTGCAATTTAGTACTCGGAGAACGTGCATGGTCCTAACATAGGATAAAACGTTTTTTTGCTGAGCATTGCGTTCTTTACGATAAGTTGCAATTTAAATGCCAGGAAAAAAGGCATAAGAGAAAAAATTGTTAGGCAAATGAAATTATGTGAGAAAGTTCATGATATGTGAGCTCTGATGATGCGGCGGCAGTGCAATGCATTATTGGAATATTTAAAAAGCTCATAGCGATAATAATGACAGAAGCTTTTTACTGGTTTGAAATGATATACCGTGAAATATCTCACGAGTGACTTGATCAGTTTCTCCCGCAGGAGCCCATACTGTAGGAGCGACCGACTTCCATGCGCTCGTGTCACGGCGTTTCTAGTACCAGTTTGTTTTTAGAACTGTTTTGGCGCGAATTTTTGAATATCTTTTAAATTCCACATACCAGTCAGCAAAACCTACAGACCTGAAAATGATATTTTTAGCCTTTTGTTAAGGTTTAGTTTTCGTTTTTGATATCTTAAACGTCGAATGCGCTCATAGACATGGTGGAGATTTTATTATCGCGGGAAAAAAGTGCCCTAAAATGTGTTAGCAACTAGTTGAGAACTCTGATCTTCATAATAAAAAAAAAGCATTTATTATTGGCAATGCGCCTTATCCATGGGCTGATTTGGCACTTTACTTGAAAATCTCCTTGTGTACGCGGAACAAATTTTATCTTCAAGTAAAATTTTTCATTATTCGTTTACTCGTCCTTTCAGAATCCTTTGCTCTAAAAAAACAAAAATGCAGCGTTGCCTTTGTTGCCTTCGTTAGCTTGGGATTCAAATAAGGTCGCACACCAGCAGTTTCTAATTAGCGCATCTACTGGAATGTTATAGAATGCGGCATTTCAGAGATTGAAATATGGCAGGCTCAATTTGTGAGTCAGTGTCAGTAATAAATTAGGCAAAGTTTGGGAGGAAGACAGTCTAGTTGATATTGTAAAAAAAAGTCAAGGACACGTTGGAACGGGTGAAATCGAAAGAGAATATGAAAAAATGTGCTTGACAAGGAGGAGTATCAGTAAAATTTGAAGAAGGCTTTCCTCCATTTGTTCAAGCCTTAATTCCCCTCCCCCTTCTAAGTAATGATAGGTTTCTAATTAAGTTACTCAGCAGTCAGGCTGTTATCCACTTTTAAGGGGGAAAAGCAGTGGTTAAAAGCATTGTTTTTCGTTGATTTCCACCCTTTTTGTTAAATATTTAGCCAGGATTTCATTTAATCAAAAAATGACGCAATTAAGTTGGAGTCCTTGGTTCAATAATTTTTTGAGATTTTTTGGATGATTCTTCGAATGTTTTTAGTGTATAAGAATTAGGGAGGATGTTTAAAATTTTTGGAAAAGTTGGAAAATATTGACTTGCGGGGTTGTTAAAACTTAAAATATGAAGCGAATAATCAGTAGAAAAATACCAGAGACTCCACCACCACAACGAGGTGCCTCTGATCCCATTAGCGGACTAACTGGTTTATGCGTATACGTTTTCTACCCTAATTTATTTCTTTCCCGAAGCAACATCATTCCCCCCTCCCCCCCCCCCCACCAAAAAAAAAAAAGACAGAACAGACTGCCCCCTTAAAAAGCGATTTTCAAGGGCCTTTGTACTAACAAGACCGCGCTTACAGCGGTATTCAGTTTCGCCAACATGGAGATCGAGAAATGAGGAGGAGATTAATTATAAAATTATAAAGGTTTTTTACCTTCTACTTTATCGACGTCGATACTTGCTATTTGTTTCTGAATTGATTTAATACGCGTGTTAGCGACGACCAGAAATACCTCTGCGGTAGCGGGCTATATTACATCATTGCCAGATATCAAAAACGTGATTTACGTGTCACGTCATTTCAATCATCGCCGAAAATAAATCGCATGCTCATCACAAGACGCATTTGCATACAGCGAAAGTTTACAACACCCGACCATCGCAATTTTGCTAAATAAGATTCCTATTTTTTTTTTCGACCACTCAGTAGTGTTCACTTGTTCCAAAGTAATCAACGCTTCCGAGCGATATAATTCGTGGACCGACACTTTTCGGAAAAGCTCTAAATTTAATCTTTCCTAAGCTTTCTTCGAAAAACATGCGTGGCTTCGATCACGCAACGATTCTTAGTCCCAGTTTCCACTGTCTCCGCGAGGAACGCATGGCAGAATGACCTCCCCTTTGTATCCTAAATACGACCAAAATTCCGGGAGGGGGGTTCTTCCAGAAAAATTGGGTGGGGGTGTGCGGCACGCTTCCTGAAACCCTTACCCTATTTCAGACCAAAATCTGTAATTTTCCCTACCCTATTTCCGACCCGAAGCCCTGGAGCCCGGCGCGTGACCAGAGCGCGTGACAAGCTGTTACGGCACGTACACAGTAGTTGGCGTAAACATTAAAAGGGAAATGGTCTTACTGCGCCTATTGATGAAGAAGTGGCTAATTCTTCAATAAAACATACCCAATTCAAGACAAGAGTGCACAAACCATACTCTATTTCAGACCAAACTGGGTCGAAATTGATATCCTATTTCAGACCAAAACGGGTAAAAAAACCATACCCTTTGGCGCGGCACATACTTATATAGCCTATATAAGGGACTAACCCCCCCCGGGAAGAAAAACGCTTTGCAGATTATGAGTCTCGCTGCTTACGCAAACGAGACTAATAAGCCCAGAGCTGGCTCGGTTTCCTAGATCTCGACACACTCAGTTTCGATATATATATATATAGTCAACGTCTGTAAAGTATTAGTCACAAGTGTGATATGTTAGCGCACACGGGTCAATGATATTAACTGTTTCTTATGGAGCCTATTTACCAAACGAAATCGATCATGAAACTGCGCTTCATTTCAGTGAAAATCAAACAGGAACGGTTTGCTTATTTGGAAGGTTTTATCTTTTACTTGTCTTAGCGTCCAAAAGAAGCCCTAAACAAATGCAGCTGTCTCTAATTTTGGAATTGGCTCCTGATTGATTTCAGATTTGCCGATTTCCGGATGATCTGGATTTCCGCGTTTCCGGTTTTCCGTATTTCCAGGTTTTCTCGTTTCCGGTGTATGTGTCAACCCGCATTTGTCCTTGCAGCGCCGGTTGAATAGAAGGTTTATTCGAGGTTGTAGCTCTAAAAACTCAATTTTCTGATTCAAAATGAAACCTGCTTAGTTGTTTTCTGATTAAAGCAATCTCTCACCTCTGGACAGATGTTCTATCGAGCTATTTAGCTCGAAACGTGACTCAGTTTTCCCTGTTTTGCGTTTCTGATTGTTATTTAGCATGGGATTCAATAGACCTTGTCACAGTTTAGATTAGCAATTGCTATTTTGCGGGCCAGTCTATTGTAACCAATAGTCTTATGAAATAAAGTTGAAGTTGAAGTTGAAGTTGAAGTTTTCGACGCCATCTTGACGATTAGGCAAACGTGTGAGAAATTACAGTGTTTGTCTGAAAATCTAATGTCGAATAATTTCAGTAAAACGGCTGTTCTGAAAAAAATATCAATTGTAAACTAAAGCTACAAAGCAAAGCATTTTCCTAAATCCTAATTTTGGGGACGTACCTGTGCTTAAAGTTATCCAGAGGCTTGCCTTAGATTGTCGATATATTTGTCTGTAATTTTCCCGGGACTATCTTACAGACAAATGTATAGAAAATTTTAAAAAGTGGTTCTAGGTCTTCTAGTGCATGTAACGCCCTCAACTTTTTTCAAAAGAATCCTTAGGAGTGAAGTTTTAGTTTACAAATCATATTTTTTAAAAAACAGCCGGAAATTATTCGACATTAGATTCTCATACAATCACTGTAATTTCTCACGCGTTTGCCTACTCGTCAAAATGGCGTCGAAAACCGTGACATTAAGGTCTATTATGGGCGCATACCAACAGTTTGTAAAGAACATTTACTGGAATTTTAAGGAGTCCGGCATCTCAGGGATTGGAATATGGCTCAATTTGTGAGTCAGTGCCAGTAATGAGTTAGGTAAGCCGAACTTTTGACAACATCTGCTTGAGATAGATCGGTTATACTAAATCTGAAAATATCGTATTAGCTCGCATATCTGTTGATACAAACGGTCATAACTTTGAAAATGCTGAAATCGTACGTGGGTTTTTTATATTCTTTATAATAGATAATGCAGCTATTTTGTCTCTTGTTCTAGAGCTTTCAACTTAAGGTCCCAAATGTCAGAAATAAGCGTTTAAACCAGGGTCATTTTTAGCCTTTGAAATTCGCTCCATGGGCAATTAGTTGGGGTCATATTTTGCTTGATTTGGTCTTTTCAGCTAAATTTAGCGAATAACTATTACTTTCAGGAAAAACTAGGGATTTTTACCTAGAAATATGTATAAACTTCATTGGCAGGTGGTGCAAATCAAACATTTTACGGCGCATTTTAATTTATGGTTGATTGATTTCTTTATTTTGTGCACAACGATCCCACAAACTCTTCACCCTTTATTACTATCGTGTCAAAATAAAGGTCTTCCAAGTTTTTTTCTTCTTCTTGTTCTTTTTTGGTTTTTCTGTCAAAGAAAAAAAAAAAACAAGAAAAGCTTTAAACTTATCTTGGCCAAAAAAGTAATAAGCAACCACTCTCTTTAAGCGGTCAGTAATCAAAATCCCGAAATAATTGTAAATTAAACCTGGCCTGCGTAGTCGGTGAAGGTGTATTTAGGGCAAAGGCCTAAGCGTGGAAGTATCCTCGCTTACCAAGAGTGTGTTTCTAATTTTGTGTGGAGTTCCTGTGAGCTGGCTGGATAAGCTAAGTGCACTGTCCACCATAAAGAAATATTTATGAATAACCTTTTTTTATGCCTTAATTTGTTAACGTCACTGGTGGCTGTGTCTATCAAAGAGCAAAAACAACTGAAAAAAGCAAAAACAAATGTTCCCTTGAAGGGAACATTTCAAAGTTCTCTTGGCAAGGCGGCCACTCTCTTTAAGCGGCCAGTAATCAAAATCCCGAAATGATTATAAAAAGGATTCTAAATTAAACCTTAGCCTACTTAGTCGGCACCGGAGTATTCAAGGCGAAGGGCCTTAGCGTGGAAGTATTTTTGAAAAATCCTTGATTCGCGGTAAACTGTGTACAGGTGGCACAGGTATCTGACAGCGGGTTTTGTTCACTCCCTTATAGGGTAATTCAGTCCTTTTATGGCAGTGTGTCATAGTTTTTCAATTTCATTCAAGGTTTTTCCTTAGTGCTGCGTTGAGCATCCTTACTGCGCATACGTTCACGCGCTATTAACGTTCTCTTCTCATGGCCTGTTTACATGGAGGTGGGGGACCCCAGATAGGTGAGGTAACATGCGGCGGGTCACCCCAGCTATCATGCAAACGTGATCAAATTAAAATGAGAGATTATGTGGGCAGGCGGGTTACCCACCAAAGCGGGTTACCTCACCTACCTGGGGTCCCCCACCTCCATGTAAACAGGCCCTAATATATAAAAGGATGTCGTTTCAATAAATAGACCATTTCCAAGTTGCGCCAAAACTTTGTTTTGAAAGGGAACCTAACTGCAAAGCCATTGATAAGAAAATGATTTTTATTCTAATTCAAATAAACCTCTTTTTCACATGAAAGGTCTCGCACTAAGCCTTGTGTTTAAAGTGAGAGTTTTTGTAACTCGGAAATGGCTAATCATCATACGCATAAAAGTAATATGTTAATAGCCCGCCATTATGAAAGAGGTCTAAAATTAAGGATTGTATTTTTGCTAGCTTACTTAGATAAGGTCCGGTAATAATACAATCCACCTTTTGGGCATGGTCTGTCACGTCGAATTTTTCTTCAAGTTTTAATGGCACAGCTGAAATGTAACAAACAATATTTGACAAGCAGAGTGTACAAATTTTTTATCTCGATTAACTAAAAATTTCATCAAATATCTTAATAAGTAAGCAAATTAATTGTCATGGAACATTGCTGGCGAGAATACAATGCACAGGAATACATGAAAACCCCAGCACTAGGGTGTGTGGGTAGAAGGAATTCCTTCACGTGACCTTTAACAACCCCCCCCCCCCTCCTTTACCAATAATGGTAATCTGAATAATAGTTATAGTAATAATGTCGATTGTGATTTGTCACTCCTGTAAAATTATTGATGTCTATAAATTATTAATTATTCGCTCAAAATATTTATCCTTTTCTGATTGGCTTGATTATCCCAGCTTATTTGAGATATGTCCAGAAATGCACGCATTGGCGAAAATGGCAGAAGTGGCAATTAATCGCCAAAATCGCCAAACTATAAACAAAAATTCAAATGAGATGGCAAAGGGGCCCTTTGCAAAGTGGCGATTTCGGCGAAAATAGCGTATTGGGCGAAAATGGCAGAAATGGCGCTTAATTGCCAAAATCGTCAAACTGTAAACAGAAATTCAAATGAGATGGCAAAGGGGCCCTTTGGAAAGTGGCGATTTCGGCGAAAATGGCAGAAATGGCAATTAATCGCCAAAATCGCCAAACTATAAACAAAAATTCAAATGAGATGGCAAAGGGGCCCTTTGCAAAGTGGCAATTTTGGCGAAAATGGCGTATTTGGCAAAAAGGGCAGAAATGGCAATTAATCGCCAAAATCGCCAAACTATAAACAAAAATTCAAATGAGATGGCAAAGGGGCCCTTTGCAAAGTGGCGAATTTGGCGAAAATGGCGTATTTGGCGAAAATGGCAGAAATGGCAATTAATCGCCAAAATCGCCAAACTATAAACAAAAATTCAAATGAGATGGCAAAGGGGCCCTTTGGAAAGTGGCGATTTCGGCGAAAATGGCGTATTTGACGAAAATGGCAGAAATGGTGCTTAATCGCCAAACTGTCAACAAAAATTCAAATGAGATGGCAAAGGGGCCCTTTGGAAAGTGGCGATTTCGGCGAAAATGGCGTATTTGGTGAAAATGGCAGAAATGGCGATTAATCGCCAAACACGCCAAACTGTAAACAAAAACTCAAACACGATGGCAAAGGGGCCCTTTGGAAAGTGGCGATATTGGCGAAAATGGCGTATTTGGCGGAAATGGCGATTAATCGCCGAAATTGCCAAATTATAAACAAAAATTCAAATGAGATGGCAAAGGGGCCCTTTGGAAAGTGACGATTTTGGCGAAAATGGCGTGCACTAATTCTGTATCTTTTCATCAACCACAAATAAAAAAAAAATGTAGAGTGCATGTTGGCCTCGTTCTTAAAACGTGCTTTGGCAGAAATGGCAATTACTCGATGAAATACCTAATTTGTCAAGACAAATTGAAATGACATAGCAAAGGGTCCCTTTTGAAATGGCTATTAATTGCCAAATAGTTAACCACATATTAATATAGAAATGTTTCCAGTAGTATAATTGTATACTAATAATGACAACGCTACTGTAACTTAAGTGTCATTAATCTGTTTTTAATGCTTTTACCTTTAATTGATAACCTCTTGTGATTTGAAATTCGTCCCAGACAAGACTGTTTGGTCGGGAATTACCACTTATAACTAATTTCTTGCTCAATTCAAATCGAATGGCCACCGAGTTGTATTCGATTATCAGTAAATGGTAATCTTCGTAATGTTCATGGCAACTTTCTTACCAAAAAATCCAAGATAGGTATCCTTAATTTTCCAGGCTTGTAGGCATTGTTTGAATAGCGACAGTTCAACATTATAGCGGGGCTCCCGCGCGCGCGAAGCGCGCGTGGGACAGAGCCCCATGCATACCCATGGAATATGGTCAACCTCTTTTCGTTTGGTTGTCACGTGATTGACCGAGCGTACGTACGTACGTACGTACGTACGCGTCTACAGATTGTATGGGTGGGGTAGGGGAGACTATCAAAAGGAAGGGAGGGGTGTCTCAGGCGTGTCTTGGCAAGTCCACATCTTTAATATAGGACATTAACAATATGGTCAATTGACAGCTGTCCAAACAGGATAGCCACTGACCAGTATCCCATGACCATATCGCGGGCTCATGTGTCAACTCATCGAGGTGACGTGATTTATTTGGAAGCTGTCCGCTGACCAGTTAACTGTTTTACTAGATCGCGAACAACGTTCAATCTCATACTTTTACTAGTTTGGGAGCACAGGAAAACTGATAATGCACACATATTGGACATTAATGTTTTGATCAATTGACAGCTGTCAAAACAGAGTACCCGCTGACCAGTATCACTTAACCGTATCGCGGGCTCAGGTGTTATCCGCTGACAAGTAAACTAGTTTTCAAGTGATCGCAGGCTCAAGTTCAATTTTTTTTCTTAATTCATATGAAATATGTTGTGTTTATGTGCTGCACAATTAAAATTTTGATTGCAAACTGACCTCGGACGTGAAAATTCAGCCAGCTGTTACAGGCAGGGAAGACAGTTGCTTTTGTTTTTTCTCACAATGGTCACGCGTTGGTCACGCTCTACGTCCAATTTTTATGCTCTGATTGGTCAAAATTTGACAGGTGAGTTCATGCGCAAAATTTATGCAGCATCTTGAATCTTGTTTACTTTAACAGCTGAAGCTGACAGAGTTTTGTGTCAACTTGTGATGTTTTTAACTGTCTTTTTCCACTGGATGTACAAAATGAAATTCAGCTGCTATCAGGAGTCTTCTGTTACTCATGGCTAGTTTGTTTATTGGGTTTTTGGTTGAGAAAACGTCGCTTGTCAAAGTCGGAAATCCGATTTCGGATGGCATCGTTTTCCTTTTCACCTTGCTTGATGCGTAAGAGGATTGCAAAGTCTGAAGCGATACTGGCTTTACCTGATAACTTTCAGGAGCTGCATCTCGAATGGTAAGCCAGAGAAATGATTGTATTTCATGTTTGTTTTTTGTATCTAATTTAATGAAGTGGAGCGTAGTTTATGCGGGAATTTAGTTTATGCGCGTTTGTAAGATTTGAGACAACGATCTCACCGAGTATCTGGTTTGATATAATCTTACAGAACTTTAAAAAGCCTTTAGACAGTTTCTCACCGCAAATAGAAAGAAAATGTTCCAAAGAATCTTTAGTTATAATTCCAGCCGGAAAAGAAAGCTTTGAGCGATTTTCTTGCCTCGAGTTCGTCTTTGAAAAAACAAACACCAGGAAGCTGGCTTAAAACATAAACTTCAGCAAACTTAAGCTTGAAGCTTGAAGATTCAGGATATTTAGGGACACTTTAATACTTGTCTTCCTGAATGAAAATTGTTGTCTCTGTTTATGTTTCACCGAATTATATTTCTTTTATTGATTGTTAGTAGTCTCTCTTGCAATTTTAATCGCTATGCCGATTGTTTTAAGTCGTTCAGTGAACATCGCTTGCAGGAGTTCTCAAAATGCCGCGCGTTAAACCATCAAATAAAAAATAAACATGATAAATTCTTTATTATCTTGGAGCGTAACTCTGTTAATGTTCATTCAAACACTCGCTACAGCTCGCACTACAAAAGTGAGAACCGGATGGCCGTATAGGTGATTTTGGAAAATTTTTTTAACAGTTTATGAATATTGAATGAGAGCAATTTGTATTGTGAAATGCTGCTTTCTGTCCATGGTATAAAAGGTTGGTTTACACGCACCCAGATTTGTTGGCAAGATTTTGCAAAGTAAACTTGTCGAACGCCAAAACGTTGGCCTGGTTTTTTTTCTAAGCCTAATTGATCTACGGTGATCAATAGCCATTACGGCTCTTAAATGTGATAAAAGATGATTACCAGTTTTTGAGTGTACATATATATGAGGCTATCAACTCGATGTAAGATTTGGTTCACTCTTGGGCTGTTTGCAAATTATTTTTCTCTAAAATCAGGTAGCCTTTCCCTCAAAAGTCACATAAATGTGCTCTAAAGTTAACTGAATTGTGGAATTCGAATACAAGTTTATTGTTTAATTTAAATTATAAATTTACTAATGGGAGCCTCGCTTTTAGCCCTGGCTAAATCTATATATTATGTTATGAGGAATCCAGGTTGGTTCTTGGCTACGCATTCAGATAATTAGATGGTCCGTATTGCCTTGTATATCCATCCTGTTTGTTATAATGGCGTTCAATCGTACAAGTATATATAAACGAGCTGGTTCATTGCAGTTTCACAGAACATGAACGTGTAAGGTGTCGTAGTTGTTATATAGGCGCGGCGGCCATGTTGAAATAGTCGATTTTGGATAACTACTCTATGTAAGTAGAAACGATTAGTGTCATTCCCAGCCGACTTTTGGTGGTCGCGCTATGTAAGCAAAACGATTAATGTCGTTCACAGGGACTCTCAGGCAATTGTTAAAATAGAAGGTAAAAAGGCTGGGTGACGTGTTTCGACGAGCATTAGCATTAGCAATTTAATGGAACACATATTGTACTGAGAATTGGTTTGGTGGTCTCAGCGCAAAAAAACAATATATTTTCTAAATTTCTGGCCCCACCTCATAAAGCAATAATGGGACACATTTTTTAAGAACGAGACAAACATGTACACTATCTTTTTATGTATTTGGTTGATGAAAAGGTACAGAATTAGTTTGAATGGGATATGTTTTATGAAAGAGACAAACAAGTTATTACTTTGATCCAATGTTTATGTTCAATAAATGCGGTGAAGTATTGGGCACAAGTGACATTTCGTGCAGGTTTACATAAATTGGAAATAAGAGAATTCACACATTTCAAAATGGCGCATGCAAGCTGCTGGACATTTCGGCTTTCTTTTAATACTTTTAGGGGACCGTTTCTCTAAAGAGCAAAACAAGTAAGTGCGAGAAGAAAGTGAAGAGTTTAAAACGACGGAAGAAGATAATGTGTATAGTGGAGAACCAAAAAAGAATGAAGGGCACACACTGGTTATCGTGAAAGCATCTTTTAGCCAGGGACCATGCGTTTCGCAATCGCTTTTGATTTAAGGCTGCCTCACAATTTAATGGAACCAATGTGAAGAGAATTGTAACCAGTGAGGATTGTTAAGGTCTACATCGAACCTCAAAAGTTAGAGTGTCCATGGCAAGGAATTATTATGATTTCAAGGACTTGGTAGTTCTCTCCTCGAGTAATTAGTGGACTTGTAAGTCTTTGAAAGGAATGAACCATACAAAAGCAAATGATGCTAGTGTGATATTTCAGCGCATCACATCACTTTTGGTAAGTCAAGCGACATCGAAAGTAAGGAAATGTTTACTTAACCTGTGAAGTACATGGCACAAATACATATTAGCTTAACTGAAACGACTTCCATTTGTTGTTTTCAGATATATTTGATTCAGTTGTATTTGATAAAATAATGTTATTTGACAGTTAGGTAAAGCTGTTTTGTCATATATTTGATTCAGTTGTATTTGATAAATGTTGCCTCACAGTTATTGGGGCCTCTTATTAGGCAAGTAATTTGAACTTTTTTTTAGTACTGTTGCCTCACAGTTATAAGGACCTCTTTAGTTATCTACTTTGAAGGGGCCACTTTTGGCATCCAGTTTGAATATTTTGCCTCATATCGCCAGCCCTCTGGCGATTTTTGCCAAAATCGCCATTTTCGCCAAAATCGCCATTTTCGCCAAAATCACCAGCCTCCAAGGGGCCACTTTTGGCATCCAATTCAAATCGCCAGAGGCTGGTGATTTTTCGCCAGTTTCACCATTTTCGCCATTGCATGCATGGCAATTTTTGCCCAAATCGCCATTTTCGCCAAAATCGCCAGCCTCCAAGGGGCCACTTTTGGCATCCAATTCAAATCGTCAGCGGCTGGCGATTTTTCGCCAGTTTCGCTATTTTCGCCATTGCATGCATTTCTGGACATAAGTGTGACAACCAGTTCTTTTTGTTGACCAAATTAAGAAGATGTTTGACGACATGTGTCGATAGAACGAAAGCGAGACGCACGGCGCGGTGGTTTAGAATTTTTGGGCAGCGTAGAGCTAGCCGAGAAAATGGAGGAAGACAGCAAGATTAGAACAAATACCACTCGACAAGGGTAGACTGCTAATGACGAATACCCGAGGTGGAGAAGAACCACTGAAAATTTAAGGAGAAAAATCAGATCGGCTAAAAAAACTTTTCATTTTCAGAATTGAATATAGTTTATATCTAGTATAAGCGAAGAAAAATTGGATACTTTTCATGCTTCTTTACCTGAAGACGAAACCACAGCCACCACGCAAAGCAGGCAAATCAGAAAGGCACAAGAAATCTTCATCTTAACTGGCTGATTTTATTTTCTGCAATAAAAATGTCATCAAGGAGACGCAATCAGTCAGCTAAAATATCAAAGATTAATTAATTCCTCCAACGGCACTGCTCCCCCACCTCAGAGTTTGGTTTTGAAAGAAAGTAGGGCTGAAGGTGGATTCGTTGTTATTGTAGGTGCAGTGGAGATCCTTTTCTCATATATTTTTCGGTTCTAAAAGTGACGGCTACTAAACTGGCTTTGAGGAAAAAAGAACTTCCAGCTATCACGTATTTAACAATGCACGAAAAACGTAAATTTGACTGATGATGAATTATAATATTTCTGCGAAATAGGAAATTAAGACGACTCCACTTTTTTCGCAAGAAGATCATTTAATTTCGTTTATATTGTTGGTTCAAATTTCGGTTATCAGGTGGTTTATTGATATCATCATATGTTTGCAGAATTTGTTTCAGAGAAATTGTTGGATTATAAAACCACTTTAAGTCCTTCTGAATTCAGTGTTGAAATTGTTTTGTAATTTTGCACTTTTTTTGGCTCTGAAGCCGATCGACAATCGAGCTACTCTTTAAAAAGTGTCGGTTTTGTTTTTGCTCCAAAATCTTATCTGAGTTCTTAAATATATTCAATTCTAAACTACGAAGGAGAATGGTTTGTCTCTTTTTCTTTGCTTCTTTTTGATAGCAGAATGATAAGCACTGTCGAGTAATTTCCCACTAATTCTCCCGCTTTCAACCCTTTTAGAACTCCCGCCTCCCGCCTTTTCCTCTCGCGCCTTCCCTAACACACCCTCGCCCTTTGTTCCTTGGCTTCCACTAGCCTCTTCTTCCCTCCTTAATCATTTTTGGAATACCTTTGATCAGCAGTAAGCTGTATACAACTACCGGTGAGAGTATTAATTCACCTTATATTACATGGAAATTTGTCCAAGATGTTATCCGGGCTAATGTCAATGACTTGGGCTTTATTTTTTTCGTTTTTACAGGCATTAGGTTTGATCAAGATCTCAAATCCTAAATTGACTAGAATTCTTCCCGCGCAACCGGTGCCTCGTTAAAGACATGCAGTTTAAGAGAAAATTAACTTCTTTAACTTCTCACAGATTTATTACATGTGCAAGGGCTTGTGAGACGGGGCCTACAGTTTATCGTCCTTATCCGAGAAGACTAGAACGTCTAACCGTTTTTAGATGTTATTACAAAGGCAGCACTTTATCCTCAGTTATTTAAAGACCCAGAGTGTTGGTCTGGCCGGGGTTTGAACCTACGGCCTCCCACTTAGCAGACCGACGCTCAGTCCCATTGAGCTAACCGGGCGGCGGTTGAAGAGTCGCATTTGCAACAGTTTCTACTCAGGGATCGTCCAAAATTTCTGTTATTGTTAAAAATTAATAGTAGTGACAACAATCAAACATCCCATTGAAAATTCCATCGCTCGAGTTAGGAAAATTTATAAAATATATATCCAGTAGTTTTAGGACACACTGCGTATTAGGAGAAACCAATAATTCAAAAAACTATACTAAGACCAAAACAGTCATCGGACTAAGCAGCCAGCAGACTCGCACTATGCGCTAGTTCGAAAGTAGTTTGGAAATTACAAACGGAATGAACTGTTCAGAACAGAGAAATAAGCTATCGAATCGATTTTCCGCCAACTTACCAAGATTGATTCTCTTCAATAACTGTGTTCACTTGCTTAAAGCACTTAGATGCTCGACAAAATCCAACAAAAACTAGAATGATTCGCAGTTGTTGAACACCTATACAAAACTGAATACAATATGAAACAATTATAGCAATTAGATATGACATATTAGGTTAGATGACATAATCCTTTAGTCGCTCGCATGAAGTTTTCAGCTTCTCACCAGATGAATCAAAATCGGGTCCAATTTCGCAGTCATCAAATTAAAGAATGAACCAGATCAACGCATAACTAACTTAAGTTATTGCACAATTGTGTAGCTGATAGGCCATATTTAACTTAAGCGATGAGCCGACTGACATTTGAGCTGTCGCATCGCATTTCTTCAGTGATCAGTCCAGTTGATATCAGAAATCTAATTTGAAATTTAATTCTGTAATTTAGTACACGGAGAACGTGCATGGTCCTATCATAGGAAAAAATATTTTTTTGCTTAGCATTGCGTACTTTACGATATGTTGCAATTTAAATGCCAGGAAAAAAGGGATAAGAGAAAAAATTATTAGGCAAATGAAATTATGTGAGAAAGTTCATGATATGTGAGCTCTAATTGATGCGGGCGGCAGTGCAATGCATTATTGGAGTATTTGAAAAGGTCATAGCGATAATAATGACGGAAGCTTTTTACTGGTTATGGAATACTTTAAAATGATATACCGTGAAATATCTCACGAGTGACTTGATCAGTTTCTCCAGCAGCCCATACTGCGAGGAGCGACCAACTTCTATGCGCTCGAGTCACGGCGTTTTCTAGTACGAGTTTATTTTTAGAACTGTTTTAGCGCGAATTTTTGAATATCTTTTAAATTCCACATACCAGTCAGCGAAACCTACAGACCTGAAAATGATATTTTTAGCCTTTTAATAACGTTTAGTTTTCCTTTTTGATGTCTTATTCCTCAAATGCGCTCATAGACATGGTGGAGATTCTATTATCGCGGGAAAAAAGGGCCCTAAAATGTGTTAGCAACCAGTTGAGAACTCTGCTCTTTATAACAAAAAAAAGCATTTATTATTGCGTCTTATCCATGGGGTCATATGGCACTTTACTTAAAAATCTCCGTGCGTCACGAGCGTTTCAGGTCGGCAACTTAAATACCGCGATCAGTTCTTTTTCGTGACAGCGTGGTATAAAAAAAAAATATGCGCACGCAAAAATGACTGTTGGCGGGAAATTTCTGGCGCGACGAGTGCTTCATAAAAACCCTTTTTAGAGTCCTTTGTTGTTGTTTGCTTGCTGTCTGCTGCAAGGGAAATTTTCAAAAAAGTTTAAATGTCTTGTGAAATGTAATCTGTGTAGTTGCAAGTCGTCTTCTCGGTGGTCCAAACTCTCAAATTTTCAAAGGAACTCCACGAAGACGTATTTGCATCCTTTAACATTATAAATAAAGGAAAGTGCTGGGTGATGATTCGTTGTTTGCTTCGTGTCGGCGGAATTTGACTCAGTGGCGAGATAGTAGACCGACAAATGAAAAATACTTAAGGTTAACAAACTCAAGGGGGAAACCTTGTCTAAACAAAGTGCTTATAGCTGCGCAAAACCTCAAACTCATACGGTTGGCTTACAACAGACTGTTCCACATGTCTAAACTCTCGATGGAACGTCATCGCCGCACACAGATGCCGTGCGACTTTGTCGACAAGTTGAACGCCAAGGGAAGAAAATTATTTTTAGGAAAATACAGAACTCAAACATCGACTAAACAACTTCAGCAACCTACTTGTAACATTGTAAGGCTTCAGAGCCTCCACAATGATCCGGATCCAACAACTCCGGTCACCAAAAACTTCAAGCGCAGGCGACGTTGAACTTTATTCACGCAGCTTATTTGGTCAAAAATGTAACAGCACACCACTGAATTGAGGTGAATAAGAAGCCCCTACCTCTTTTTCAAAGTAAACGCCAACAAAATTGAATCCATCTGATAATCGTGTACAACATTCGTGAATTTGAAATTTTTTAGCATTTCCTCTGCGGTCCGCATACCTCATCCTAAAGCACAAAAATGTTGAAAGTAGCGTTTTATAGATCTTTATACACCATCATTCACTTATTTATCCAATTCTTTATATTGCAAACTAATTATCGGAGTGCTAAATCTATTCTCTGTCCTAATATCGTCCTTGCTACAAAATGCGGAAGACAAAAACCAATTGACATATACCTAACTTAACACAGATTTTGGCTACACATTAATGAAGGCAAATTATTCAGTAACCACATCACGAGATCAGTAAACAAACATAATGACATTCCAATCCAGGAACATGACCTGAAAATATGAAAAAAAACTAAAAAACAGACAAGCAATATTTATTAGTTCGATGACCACATATCAGTTCAATAATCACTGACAGCAGTAATTCACAAACCACACAGAAGCCCAATGCTGTAGGCAATAATTCAAGGAATCGAAACAGTATATTTCATTCTTTTGGGATATGGAGACGGGGTGGGGTATACTGTAGGTTGACAAAAAGTATTTTTTATAAATACATTTTTCACATTACTTTGTTTTTTTTTCTATTACTTGGCATTGCAAAACTATCTGACGCCATGATTTAAGTTTCTCTTCATTTCTTTAGCCTGGCTGCCAGTGCACCACACACTCCTATCACGCCTCCAAAGTTTCTTCAAACGAATCCACAGTAGAGCCATCCTTTCGCCTAATTAGGGCAAGTCACTATAGTTTGGGTCCTCAAACATACTTAGCTTGAGGCAAAACAACTTTTAAACATCAAATTTGCCTGTGGCAACTGGCTCGATTCAGAGATATCATTCACGAGAATCAAACCGAAGAGTTGAGAGAAAGCACTGCACCATTTGGTGAAAAGGCAACTTTCGTGGTAAAACTTTCCAGTGGGAATGTTGAGACGAAAACGAAAACCCTTCAAAAAGAATTTACGGAACAATAAGACGGTTTTCCTGCCAGATAACAGTCCCGTTCGTCAATTTTCTGTCAGAATAGCAAGGAAAACGTACACAGCCCATTCATGGCGAAAAGAAAATCACACTTCGTGTCAATAGCATGCGTTCGAAGCCCCAACAGTTTTGGTCAGCAGTTTCACCCTTAAAGCATCCGCTGTTTACTTACAACGCGGGCTTAAACTTGATCGAGGGGCCCAAGACTGAAACGCTGGTGGCGTGCGCGGAACAAATTTAATTTTACCTTCACGTAAAATTTTTCATTATTTGATCGTTTACTGATCCTTTCAGAATCCTTTCCTCTAAAAAAACAAAAATGCGGCGTTGCCTTTGTTGCCTTCGTTAGCTTGGGATTCAAATAAGGTCGCACACCAGCAGTTTCTAAAGCGCATCTAC